AAAAAAAAGGAGGGGGGGTCAGTATCTGGACCCGATGTATCCCATCCATGCTTCCATAAAGAGAGTTCAAAATACCTTAACATGACACTACTCAACTTTACACTACTAGATGCAAAATCCTAGGATTCCAAAACTGCGTTTCTATCACAAACAACATGAGTCGAAAAAGCCGTTCATCAACCTCTTACTATCAAGATTATCCTCTACCAGCGCGAAAAGAGAAGGTGAACGATGCTAATACGAAACAGCAGCTCGTACACCTACCGCCCTGCTCCCGCTGCGGCAAAAGCAGAAGGCCGCGTCCGCACATGGACGCGATTGAACCACTAGATCGGATCATTTGCCGGAGACCAGAATGCGAGAGACTCAAAGTTCTTATAAAGAACATGTCTAAGCCTAGCAATCTAGTTATCAAAGTAAACCATTACCACTATAGAGAGCCTCTTCCAGAAGTTGTACCACCTACTAAAATGGCTGAGCTGCCTGGAGGTAGTTCAGCAACAGGTCGGATCGAACTACCTGATGAACTGGCAAAATACAAGTATTTTGGAAGGGAGAGGCCACGTCGACTTCACACTATCCTTGAAGAGGGGCCACCCCCGGTTAATCTTTCAACGAAGCCAACCGGCACCATTTCAGAGATGATTTATGCGATGCGGGAGAGGAAGCGAGGCACATATTCGGATCATGTCCGTTGTACAGCAGAGACTCAAGCGACGTGATCTTCTGTTCTGAAGATCATATATCTGGTGTAGCATTTTGTGAGAAGCTGAGATCTTGGTAACTTCGTCCTTCAGCTGCTTGTTGATGCGCATTTGTTCTTGATATACTGCAAAAATCCAAATGAAGTCGGCTCCAATCAAGTTGAGTTTTTGGAGAACATCCTGCACCATCGGACTTGGTGGCGAGATAACCATAGACTACCAATGTATATCAGTACTTTTTTTCAGCTTGGAAGTATGTATTATCATCTTACCGATTGCCCATCCATGAGAGTCGCAAACTGTACCTTGAATATATAAGCGAGTCCTTACTAAATGCTTCTTGATCCCACCACTTTCAAACATAATCCTTCAAAGTCTAGGAATAAGTTACCCACGCAATTTGGAACTAAAAGTGGCTGAGATCGAGTACAGTAGGATTGTGGTTGATTGGAAGTCCTCTACTAGCGGCTGTCCAGGACTTACGGATATCCTTCACTGGCGGGCGTCCGCGACGTACGTATGTCCTAACTGGGAGCATCGCATTTTGGGTCTGAAATTGGAAGGCCTCACTCAACAAAAGATGAGAGAAGCCTTCCTATTTTGTCAATTTCGACATCCGCGCGAATAATTGAACAAGATTGGAGACACAGTTTGATCTCGCGAAGCTTTATAAGAGGATGGGAGTGGCGATGATGACGCATACTGGCAGAAGAGAGCCAAGCATGAGGACAATGCTCACACCAGGCCAACGGCAGTCATATCGCTTGACAACCAATACAGACCTGTTGTGCTACCTGGGAGGCAACCGCGGTCCACCTATGATCGCCATAGGCGTGCTACTATACCCGCTCGGAAAAATGGTGCCGATAATTATCCAAACCATTCAGTAGTACGGCGAAGTGCTGGGATCGCTGCACAGAGACAGGCTGAATAAATAGAACGGTGGATTAACACTAGGCCAGAGAGCACGCTCACATCTAAAGACCTAGTTATAAAGCCCTCTGGAAGCTTCATAGAGAGAGTGGTGTGGCATAAAAAATATTTGCGAGTGGCTGTCGAATCTGCTCAGAGCATACTGTAGTTCGATATTGAGAGCATCTATGGTATCAGAATGGTATATTACTGCATCGCTGACTTCGCGCAGGTCTTAAGCAGCATAGCACTGGAGGTCGTTCTCAACATGGGTACGAGGAAGGATCAAGTTGGACACGGTGTCGCACTGAGGGGCTAGCCTAAGCTAGGCGGTGCTTGAGATTGCTGGTGTGCAGCGCTCAGGGAAGCAAAAGGAAGTGAAAATGTAATGTATATGGACGTATTTTTATGAAAATGTGTTCTTATAGTGATTTTATATGTTTTTGTCTATTCTTTGGTTTGTCTTTACAGAAAAGAGTCTTTTATGCGGGAGATCATGTGATATTCCTGCAACACAGTTTGTTGCAACACAGTTTGTTGCAGGCATATCACATGATCTCCCGCATAAAAGACTCTTTTCTGTAAAGACAAACCAAAGAATAGACAAGAGGAGAACACCACAACAGCGAGAACGTGAATTCTTGGAAACCAAGGAATTTAATCGCACCTATATACCCTTCTATACCGCAGGGGGAAATTGACAAGTTTGACGCGTAGCCCAGCGCGTAAACAACAGACATGTCACTTCCCTGGCCTAAGGGGGAGACCTGGGCAAACAGGCTACCAGAGCATGCTACCTAACTAGTGAAGCATCTTCAGGCGGCGGCGCAATATACGCATAGCATATCCAGCTATATAGTTAAACTAGACCCAGTAAAATCAATGATCTTCGCAGTCCTCACCTTCGCAGCAAAGGTATAAACGTCCCCAGACCTGATATATATATA